CTGTTACCCCTCAGTGACTCCTAGTGGGTGCTGTTGAAACTGACCCATCAATTGGTTATTTCTCCCCAGGAGAGGGAGGTGGAATAAGTAGTTTTGTAAGTTTCTACATGTGCTTGAATCCTGACCCTTCCATTGTTCTGAACCTGTTTTCTTGCCTATAAAATTTAAATTCCATTCAACCAATGTGTTTATTGAGCACTTATTCTGTGCCTAGCACTCCCTGCCCTCAAGTAGAAAGAAGTTCAGAGCCAAGGAATATAGGGAATTCTGCTGATAACTGCCCGAGTTTCAGATTTAGAAGGTTGGAGATGGTTGACTGGACCAAATAAGGGCTGACAGAGCCCTAAATTCTTGGCACCAGTAAATACTATCTGTGAGTATAGGTGTGGTGAAGCTCAGCGTTGACAAAAGCTACAGTTGGGTAAAAGCCAGGACTGACATTCATTCCTTCATTTATTCAAACAGTTTTTTTCATTCTTAGAGGGACTTGGTCATTCAAACTTCCTAGTAAGAGTCCTGGGGATGGGGAAGAGTCCTATCCAGGAAACCCTGAAAGGTTGCATCTTCCTTGTAATTTCACATTAACAACAACAAAAAAAAAATACAAAAAAAAAAAAGCCTCTTCTAGTGAGACGCCATAGTGCACACCTAGCGACTTAGAAAGCTGAGGCAGGGGGATCACAAATTCAAGACCAACCTCAGCACCTTAGCAAGGCCCTAAGCAACTTAGTGAGACCGTGTCTCAAAGTAAAAAATAAAAGGGCTGGGGATGTGGCTTAGTGGTAAAGCACCTATGGGTTCAATCCCCAGTACTAAAAACAATGTCTGGGGGATGTGGCTCAATGGTGATGTTCCTAGGTTCAGTCCCTCATATTGCAAAAATATAATTAGATAGATAGAGCTATATATAAAAAAAATTATTAATACTAGTCAATTGTCTTTATCACAAAAAAAAGTATGAGGGGCTAGAGTTGTGGCTTAGTGGTAGAGCGCTTGCCTAGCATTTGTGAGGCACTGGGTTCAATCCTCAGCGCCACATAAAAATAAATAAATAAAGGTATTGTGTCTGCCTACAACTTTAAAAATATTTTTTTAAAGTATGAGGTGATAGGTATATTAATTAGCTTGATTTAATCATTGTACAGTGTATATGTATAGCAGAACATCATATTATACCCCATAAATAAATATAAATATATATGTAATTATTATTTGTCAATTAAATTTTTTGTTTTTTAAAGTTAGGCTCTGCTCCTCAGGCTCTCTGGCTCCTGTGATCAGGGAGGCAGGATTTCATCAGCATCCCCAGGCCTGGAGAGTGAATTCCATCAGGCCAGAGTGACTCCACCCCCTTGCTCTTGGACTTCAGTGACTCACCTGCCTGCCCTCAGGGTGTATAGAACCTAGGTGCTTCCAGACTAGCTGGGTGGGATGGAGTCTGAGGAAACAGGTCCTTCCTTCAGAACTGAGGAGGAGACTGGGAAGCTAACACCACCCAGACTTGGGAGAAGTCAAGGGCGGGTTCTGAAGGAATGAAGAAGGTGGGATGCGAAGGTTGTTTTCTCTGAGTCTTGGGAAGAGGGATGAGTTAAGGCACACTGCAGCAGAGTCGTCATGGTCTTGTAGGCACCGTGGACGATAAGTCTCTGCCTTAGATTTCTAGTCACAGAGCTTCAGAGGTTAGGGACCGTAGAGAGCAGCCCCTTGAGCAGCCTATTTCATCACTTCTCCATCTCTTTTCTTCTAGTCTTGGACTCACAACATCCAGAGGGAGAAGGAGTTCCTGAAGAAATTGGTGAAAGCACATGTCATCACTGACCTAAGCAGTGGCATCTGAGTGGGCCCAGCACTTGGCCACGTAGGCCTAGGTGCTATCAGAGCAAGTAGCAGCCACCTGTGCAAGAGTCCTCAGACCCAGAGAAGGACAGTGCCAAGAGGCCCCAGGGGCAGTGAGGCCTTGGTGGGGTAGCCAGAGCTGTGCCTGTTTGGAAGCCAGCCTCAGAGACCAGCACTCAGCCTCTCTCAGCCTGGGTCCATGAAGCCAGAGGGCCAGGAGGCCACTGGCTGTGCCCAGCAGGCCCAGCATGCAGGAGGTGGGACATTAGGCAGCATGGCTGCTGCCAGAATTGTTTCTCCAATCAGTGTTTGGTGTATTATCATTTTGTGAATTTGGGCAGGGGGGAGGGGGGGATAATTTATTTTTAAATAAGGTTGGAGATTGTTTGGTCCACTTGCTGTGCAGGAAGAGGCCCACTAGAGGGCCCATCAAGCAGTGGTACCAGTTAGCTCCCTGGAGGGTAGGAATGCGGTGACCAGTCTGTGCAGCACTCCAGGACCATAGGGAGGTGGGCAGCATCTCATGCCAGTCCCCCCCCCAGCTCACCACACTGTTTGGCCTTTCTTGGGAAGAAGATGGGGTATTCCCACTCACCAGCCCCCAGCTGTCCTGCAGGGAAACCCTGGAGCCATCCCTTCGGAGCCAACAGGACAGCCCTGGGCTAAAGCCGAGAGAACTCGAAAGCTCAGGAGGCCCAGCCCAGCTTAATGGGAATGGCTGTCCTCCCCAGCCACACCTGATCCATGGGACACCACCCCGGCCTGCACTGACCCACTTGGCAGGTGTTCTGGGTTTCCACAATGAGACTGCTAAGTCCTTGGGTTCTGCCTTTAGCCTGGACCAGAGGGAAGTGAGGCCCAAGGACTTTACCTAGGCCGCGACAGCCATCCTAGGCAGCCCTCATGGAAGCAATAAAGACCTTCCCTGAACTTGGCCTCCTTTTTTGCTTTTTCCAACTTTCCTGGAAGAAACAGGAACCCAAGGCTCCAGCCACTCTGCTAAATCCAAGGGCCTTCTCTCCAGCCCACAGAGTATCAGATCCCTTCACTTCTCATGTCCTGTGCAGGACCTAGGTGGCTATCTAGGAACCTCTGGGGTCTTACCACATGAAAGAAAGACCAGTGGTAGCCCCTGGCCTGGAGAGGCCCACAGACCATCGCTTGACACCCTGGCTTGGCTCTTTCTTGGCTCTGGAAAGAATATGTCTTGACCCCAAAGTTAGCACACAGGCATGATCTCCATCCAGCCCCCCTTCTCACACAGAACGGGGGATACACAGTCCAGTTCTAAACATCCCTTGGGGAACTTCAGAAAGAATACCCTCCACCTCGAATATAGAGCCCTCGAATTAGATCCATCTCTCCCCAGCAGGCCTGGGAAGGACAAACATACCCACCCTTGAGGCCATGTGGAAGGAGCTTCCTGCACCTCTCCTGCCTACTCCAAGAGTCCAGGGAGCCCCAGGCCCTCCCACTGTGACCCCCTGAGGACAGAGTCTTGGCCACCCCAAGGAATATGACTTCCCACATGCCCTCCTTACTGCAGAAGTCTGTTCCCAGACATAGCCCTCCTCAACTGAGGGGAAGCGAGGCCCTGACTGAGGGACAGTCAAACCCAGAAATGCCCTTCATACTCTGCTGAAAACAGGTCCTCTGTGATGCCCAACTCCAATGCACAGTTCCAGCTTGGATGGCACCCACTCAAGAGTTGTACAGGGACTAAGCTGCTTGCCCCAAAGTAGTGGTCCTGGCTGAAAAAGCCCCAGAAAAGCTACCCCTGGCCAACAAGTTATGGGAGGCAAAAGATCAAACTGCTCACCACTTGGCCTCCTTTTTACAGCTTCATGGGAATGGCTGTCCTCCCCAGCCACTTCCAACAGCTCCCAGCAGCAGACTTTCTCAGCAGTCTGTTGTCCCCAGCATCACACAAGACTCCCTCACAAAAGCTGTGATTCTGAGCCCTGGATATGCATCGAATCACCTGTGCAGATCTGGAAAACTGCACCTGCCCACCCTGAGACCTGGTGACTGATTCAGATCAGGGTGGGACCTGGATGTGGTAGTTCTTAAAGATCCCCAGTGATTCTGATGCATAACTGGATGCAGCTGGTTCATACACATTCCCTGAGCACTCATCCGCACCCACAGCTTCCAGTTGTATGTCAGTTGGTCAACAATTTTCATATTGTCCTTGCCAACCAAGCTCCCCTCGCTTTGCTCTAGGCAACAAATTCTGCTGCTTTCTGAACATTTACACTAGGAAACGTCCACAGGGCTTTCCAACTCAACATGTTCAACACTGAACTCATGAGCTCCTGCCCCTAACCAGCCCATCTCCCAGGGAGCCTCATTTCCCACAGTGTATGCTCTCCACTAAGTCACCCAGACCAAAGCTAAAGGCACACCTCTGTCCTTCCTAACTGGTCACCCCATCCAATCAAGTACCAACTGAATTTTCATGGGGGTGTGTGGAGGATTGTGACCAGGCAGCCCTAGACTCCCTGCTCAGGCCTCATCCTCTCTGCCCAGCAGTCTCCTGACTATCTCACCTCTCCTCCATCTTCCCTGTCTCCAAACTATCTACCACACTACAACTCTAGAGACATGCATCAAAATGCATCTCTGACCACACCATTCCGCTCAGAACCCTTTGATGGTCTCCAGCGTCTTGGGGCTAAAAGGCCAGATTCCCTAGTATTACCTTTCCAGCCATGTTACTTAATGGAATCCCCAGCCCACCTGCCGAGCTGCCATAATTAGGCATCTGAAATGCCACCCCCCAGCTCCTACTTCAAGCTCCAGCCCACATGTTCCTCTTCTGTGACCTTCCCCTTAAGCCCTCCTTCCCACTTCCACTGTCTCTGATAAGTGACTTCGATGTTACACGAGCTGCTCCCCTAAGCCCCAGGTAACTCAGGAGGTGAGTGGTGGGTGTAGTCGACTCAGACCTTGGAAGTTCAGCGCGAGCCTTGTCATCTGAGGCTGTCGACCCGTCCATTAAGAGAGAAACTATCTGAGGGTCCCAGGCGCAGCAGGACAACCTGCCGGGACCCCCACGTCTACAAACTCAAAGGCCGAGGCCAAGGCAGGGACCAGCCTGTCCCTCCCCCCCCCGCCCTTGCTCGCTCTCTCCCGCCCTCGGCCAGTCCTCCCAGCTCCCTACTTCGCGAGTCTACAAACTCCGAACTCGCAGTTTCCGCGCCTCCCCGGTGCCCGCATTCTCTATTCTGCATCCGAGGGTCCTCTCCCAGCGTCTACTCCCCATCTCGGGGGACCCAGGGGAGCCAGTGGGGACCGGATCCGGCGGGTGGAGCGGCCAGGTGAGCCCTGAAAGGTGGGGCGGGGCGGGGGCGCTCTGGGCCCCACCCCGGGATCCGGTGACGCTGGGGCTGGAATTTGACACCGGACGGCGGCGGGCAGGAGGCTGCTGAGGGATGGAGTTGGGCTCGGCCCCCAGACACGGCCCGCGGGCTCCGCCAGCAGCAAGTCCCTCGGGTCCCAGCCCTGGCTGTGACTGGGGTTGGGAACCCGGCACCCGAGGTAAGCCAAACCGCTTGCCGGTACCCTGGTCCCAGTCCTGGATGGACGCTCCAGGGGCTGGGGGCAGAGGCAAGACAGCCTTCACTTTTCTGGCATCCTCCCTCTCCTGGGCCCTCAGAGCAGCCCTCTGCTTCTCCCAGCCCCTCCAGTCCCTCTTGTCCCTTGTTAAACTGAGCTAGTCCTGCTGTAATGTGAGGCTCCCGCTGCCGCTACAGGGCACAGACTGGCTGCCAAGGCCGCACTTTTGGCTAAAAGAAGTGCTGCCAGGTGCACAGCTCTGGGTATGAGCCATTTGATCTTCGGGGGCAAGTCCAGCACTGGACCCAAGAAAGGTGCCTAGAAGAAAACGGTGCAGGACCCCCACCCATGGTGAGTAGTGGGATGATGGAAGCGGGTGGCAAGGGCTCAGGATCAAGTGACCCAAGAGAGAGAGAGGGGACTTGAGCTGCCATCAAGCAAGGGTCCTGCTCCTGAGCTCCCCCTAGTGCAGAGGCCCCTAAGCTTTTTGCTCCATGGTGATAACAATCAGTGGCCTGGTCTTGAGGACTCTGAATTCAGTTAGCCAATAAGCCAACGCCTGGCCCTGTAGGAAGGCCTGAGGAGATCTGTTCCACAGATGTGTAGGCATTCTGAGTCCTAGGGAGAGGTAAGTGACAGCCCGATCCAAGAGGAGGCTGGCTAATGAGGGCCCATGAAAGTTCTGGGTTCCCAGAGAGGCATTTGAGAGTGCTAGTCAGTGGGGGCTTAGGAAGGCTAGCTGGGACCAGGAAGGATGATGGCTCACGGGGGAAACTTCTAGGAGCAAGGCCAGGCTACCAGATCCACAAGAGGAGACAGACGTGGGCAAGCTCTCAGGGTGGCTCAGGTCTGAGATCAGGCTGCTATGAAGGCCAGCCTAGCCTGGTCCTCCTAGGAGTGACTCAGACCTAAGTGCAGAAAGAATATATAAAAGCCTACCTCCCCTTCAAGTCTGCAGACTTGGCAGACTCTGCCCCCTGGTGGCCATAGGAAGCCATGGCCCAAGCCCTGTGTTTTCAGAGGGCCCATCAGCCTCCACCTTCTGCTGGTAAGGGACATCTGTGGACAGAAAAGAAAACGCATGTCTCTGGGTCCAGAACACATATTACAGAGGAACAAGGTGCAGTGGTGCTGGTCCTGGTGGGCAGCACAGGCCTCACTGGGCCTCACTGTCATCATATAACTCTTGAGTGACCAGCAGCCACTCTAATTCTTCTCCAGGTCTCAGATTCCTCCCCTGTGGCATGGGTGAAAGCTGTCTGTGGGACCAGGGATGGCCAGCTACTGCTATCTTCTCCAGTCAGTCTTGGCAGCTCCAGCCCCACAACACAGAACAGGAAAGTTGGGAAAACAGGACCCCTCTCCCAGCGGTTGTCTGGGTCTACCCTTATGACCTTAGGTAATCTCTGAGTTTCTCTGAGCCTTGTTTGCTCATCTGGAAAAAGGGAATTAAATCATTTATTTACCTCATGGAGTTGTGAAAGAGGAAATAGTTGCAAAGCATCTAACACATAGTAAGGTTCTCAATGCAGCTACTTTTCCTGGATTGAGTCCAGCTACCCAAGTCCCCTGTAGCTTGGAGAAACTCAGGTGGAAGGATGACCTCCTTAAAAGATAACTCATCTCTCAATATGCAAGCTGCCTCACAAAAAGGGTGGGGGAACAGGTCATCAAAGGCTGATGGGAGCTCCTGGTGTTGATAGAGATGGAACTTGGACTTGGAGGCCCTACTGCACTGCCCCACTGCTCCTGGCCTAAGTGGCAGGTGAGTGACCCACAGGCACTCTCAGCTGGTTTTGAGGAAGGGTGGCTTGACTGGGGAGGAAGAGCAGGGTTTGGCGTGGGCTGAGACCAGATTTAGAAGGGAAAATGGTCAGGCAGGGAGGAACCAGGCATGTGAGTTAAGGAACAGGACTTCTCTGGATGCTCAATGCACTCAGGCGATTCCTCCCGTGAGCTCCCAAAAGCTTGGAACCCATTAGGTCTTGAACCTAAGCCCTTCCAGACTTCCCGCCAACAACTATGAACCCAACCCCCTCTCCGATCTCAGCCCAAGGCAGCCCCTCCTTGGGCTCGCCCCACCACAGCCCACCAGGGCGCCCTCTTCCTTCCTGAGGCTCCATTTCCACCTCTGCGCAGCCCGCCCTGTGGCGGACCTTGACCGCTCTGGTCCTGCTGAGTAGCGTCACGGAGGCCTCCCTGGACCCCAAGCCCCACAGTTCGACCACGCGCGAAGACCCCGCGCCAGTCCTGGCGCCGCCCACCCGCCACCTCCCGGGTAGGTGAGAGCGTGAAGGGGCGGGGCAGGGGCGAGGCTGGCCCGGGAGTGTGTGACTTTATCTCCTTCCAGGGCAACTCACGGCCCGTTTGTGCAGCGGAAGAGCCCGGCGGATACAGCCACAGCCTCCCCAACCGGTACCCCCGCCGCCCGCGCCCCCACCCCCACCCGTGTCCCCGCCTGCTGCGCCCCGCGGTGTCCGCGCGGCGCGTGCTGGGATCCGGGGCAGCCGCACGGGGGCCACGGGCACGCGGAGCTGCCGCCTGCGTTCGCAGCTGGTGCCGGTTCATGCTCTTGGTCTGGGCCACAGATCTGATGAACTGGTGCGTTTCCGTTTCTGCAGCGGCTCCTGTCGCCGCTCTCGCACCCCGCATGACCTTAGCCTGGCCAGCCTGCTGGACACTGGGGCCCTGAAGCCGCCCCCCGGCTCCCGGCCAGTCAGCCAGCCCTGCTGTCGGCCTACTCGCTATGAGGCAGTCTCGTTCATGGACGTCAACAGCACCTGGAGGACCGTGGACCACCTCTCAGCCACTGCCTGTGGCTGCCTAGGCTGAGGGATCTCTCCAAGGCTTTGCACATCCTTACTCGCGCATCTTGATGCCTCGGACCTCCCCGCCGGGCCCCATTAGCCAGGGCCTCAGCCAGAGATGGAGACCTCAGAGCTGAGTTGCCAAGCCCCATCAGAGATAACAAACATTGGCTCTGGAGAAATGGAGGGACTATTCACCAGCAGCCTCAAGGGGTTTATATGGACACCAGAGACTTCAGCCATGGAGACATTAGGAACCACTTCTCACACACTGGCACTGGCCAGGCAGAAGTCCTGGGACCTCCTCCTCTAGAGACTCCAGAAATGGCCCAGGTGGGGCAGAATTTGGAGGAGTCACATTGCAGTTGCATGACTGAATGCACCTGTGTTGGAGTTGGCCTTGAACTCACTCCTGGGCACTGAACCCCTATTTATTATTTCTAACTTATTTATTTACTCTGGTAATTTGTCAGATCCTTTCCTGGGAAATGGGGGGATTAGTAGAAGAGGTGAGATGGAGGTGTGTCCTGACCTTCCCACTCACACTTCACTCAGCAATCACAGGCTTGGCCAACTGCTTGCCCCCACCCAGCAGCTCTGAGGTAGAAGACATGGAGCCCTGGGCAGAGTGGGTGGCCAAGGTGCATTCACAGGCCAGCTCATACCCCCTCCAGTCTCTAGCATTTGGAGCCTGGGTTACCTGTAGGAAAAGAAACTACAGAGCCTTTTAAGGAGAAAGCCCCGTCCCATACTGATGGTCCTCTTGAGGTCCTAGCTTAGTGGGTAAAGACAGAAAACCATACATTGCCATGGCCCACTGTCACTAATCAGTATCTACCATCCAGGAAACGATCTTGAAGGTACCCTGACAGGTGCATAATCTACCTCTCCTTGCAGAAGGTCCAGTCTGGGGAGCTCACTGCCTTCATTCCATGAAACAGTCCAAGGCAAGAAAATATATGAAAAAAAAAAGTCGAAGGTGGGAAGAGGGTGCACTGGGGTGCTGGTTTGGGAGAATGAAGCACAGAACTTCACAAACATGAATGTAGGAAAGACCTGAGGAGCCTCAGAGGGACCTGCATTTTGTTTGTTGAATGAGGGGTATTCATTTATTCAGCCAACAAATATTTACTAAGCACCAATTATATGTCAGCTTCTGAGTAGACACTAAGGATAGACAGACAATAAATACTCAATAACATACATACTTATTTAAATTCAATTTGGCAACTGATATAAAAAAGAACAGGAAACTAAGAGGTATACACTTTTATCTGGAAGGAACATTAGTGCTGTCCCTGGCCTCTCACATTGTCCTTAAATCATCTCCAAAAGGTCAATGTAATTCCCTTTCTGCATGTCCTTTAAAACTGTGATTCCTAGGTCCTAGGTATTTATTTGGGGGTGACCTATATGATTTGCCTTCTTTGGAAATAAGACATGGATATGGAGTTGGAAAGGATGATACATCTAAGGGACTATGGGACATCCAGAGGAGTTGTCAGGAAGCAGGGGGGATATGCTTGTTGATCTTGAGCTGAGAATGGAGGTCTGAATTGGTAGGTTTGAGAACCATCAGTGCAGAGGTGGTGACCAGGAGTCCATGAGAGTACCTTATGAGTGAGACAAGGTTGGGGTGGGATCCCAGGCATTTAACACTTGACAAATTTCTTCCCATGTGCCTGCCTGCTTTGGCAAGAAGCTACTTCACCCAGGCTAGTGAGGAGCCACAAGAGCTCTGAAAGCAGGGCCTATTCTGGGTCAAGGAGGTAAACTGTGCCTGTCTCTCCTTCTGCCCCAGTTCTATGCACCAAAACTTTGGTGCTTTTTTGCTCTCAAATACCCATTTGGTTCCTATCTCTGCCTCTAAACTGATTTAGGATCCTCAGTTTCCACAAACATACCCCACAGAAAATGTATCCGTATCGTACAGTATGTAGAAGGCTGGGTGGGAATATTGAGAATATCCTGTCAATTCCATGGCTCTGGTATCTCCATTTTTTATTTTGATCTCTGTTTCACATTTGCAAAAACACATTGCCCAATGATTGATTTTCCCAAAATTAGGGCATGGTCTCCAAAAAAGGAATATCAAGTTATCACTTCTTGCAAGACAACAAATAATAGGCAGCTTTGAAATGACAGTTTTTTCCAGCTCAGAGAATACCTCAAACTCCTGTCTATGTTCATTTCATCCAGAATACATAGTTCCAGGTTCTATTTACTCCCACTGTCTGCAGTTGCCTGGTCTGGAAGATGCCCTTGCCAATGACTTTCCTCCTTTCCTATCCAGGGATTGCCATCTTATTCCTAGCTAAAGATCCCTGTGATGCAGTGTGTGTGGACTAGCTGACTGAAGTCTCATCTTGATAAGGAGAGGTTAGATAGAAAGTTGAGTGATCAGAAGAGATTTAGGAGAAACTGTGTGGGTCTCAACCTATTTTTGGAGTTGTGAAGTCCTTTGAAAATCTGATGAAACTTATGACCTTCTCCCCACCAAAATACTAGAAATGTCACTGATAACGTAAATCTGGTAAACAATTTTAGGGGAGTTGCACAGACTGTGTATGTGTGTGTGTGTGTGTGTGTGTGTATACTGGGGATTGAACCCAGGGTTGCTTTACTACTGAGCTGCATCCCCAGTCCTTTTTATTTCCTATTTTGATATGTGGTCTCATTAAATTGCTTAGGGCTTTGCTAAGTTGCTGAGGCTGGCCTTAAACTTGTGAACCCCATGCCTCAGCTTCCCAAGTCTCTGGGATTAAAGGTATGCTCCACCTTGCCTGGAGTCCACATACTTTCCAAATCTCATTTAGCTGTCCATTTGGAGTGCATAGTCCCCATGTTGTGGTGGCATGCCCTGTTTTACATACTATGTTGGATATCCTCTTGTAGCTGGATTCCTCCAAGTGTATTCAGCTCCAATATCAGGGCTCTCTGACTCAACTATTTACAATGCCCCCCACACTTCAACCATTTTCTATCTCATCTCTCCTTTCCTTCAGTTTATACTGGCTCAAATATACCTCATTATTTTAAAGATGATGCTGTGACATCTACATAGGTAGATAGATATATCTGCTGCCACCTCTCCTTTACTAAAAGAGCTTTTGCTGAAGTACCAGGGACCCTGTCCTTCTAAATCCGGTAGCCACTTCTCAGCCTTTAATACTTTGAACACTCAGGAGCACTCAATTTTGTCAACTCTCCTTGAAAAACTGCTTTCCCAGGCTGGAGATGTGGCTCAGGCGGTAGTGCGCTCGCCTGCCATGCGTACCCGGGTTCGATCCTCAGCACCACATACAAACAAAGATGTTGTGTCCGCTGAAAACTAAAAAAAAATAAATAAATATTAAAAAAAATTCTCTCTCTCACAGACTAATACAAAATCTATTTAAAAAAAAAAAAAAACCTGCTTTCCCCTGTGTCTGCATCTGTCTTTCTCTCTGTCTCTTTTTCCTGAGTACTGGGGGATTGAACTCAGGGGCACTATACCACTGAGGTATATATCCATATACGCAGCCCTTTTTATTTTTTATTTTCAGAAATGATCTTCCTAAATCGCTCAGGTTGGCCTTATAGATTTTGATCCTTCTGCCTTCGCCTTCCAAGTCACTGGGATTACAGGCATGTGCCACCACATCTAACTCCTTGACTCTCTTGATCTTATACTCATCTGGTTTCCTTCTATTCTTTCAGCTGCTCATTCTGACTACTTTTGGGTTCTTCCTCTCTCTGCCTCTTAGGTGTTTCTCAGGGCTCTGAAATTGACTCTCTCCTCTTCCCACTCTTCTCTTTCTCTCTGGGCAACATTATCTGCTTCCATGGTTTCAGTTACCACCATCCATGCTAACCATGCTCACATTTTATCTCCATCCTAGACCTTTCTCCTGAGCCCCAAGTCTGTAATTTCAATGTCTACCTGCATAGCTTTGGAAACCTCAAGCTTCATACATCTGTCTTGATATCTTCTGTTTTCTCCTTTACATCTACCCTCCACTCTTCTCTACCCTGTTCTGCACCTCACATCAATGAGCTTCCCTGCTTTCCAGCTTCCACACCACCTCTAGTATTCTCCCCTTGGCGAATATACCAAACTCCATCCAATGACACAAGACAGAAACTTAAGCGACATGTTAGACTTCTAGAGCTCTGTCGCATCCCTCAACCACTGATCACCCTAGATCTTGCAGGTATTTTCCCTTTTCTCTACCCCCAATACCATTCTATTGAAGCTTTCATAATTTTTCAGATGGTTTATTGCTTAACTCTCTCCAATTAATATCAATCCTGCAGCCAGAAATGTCTCCAATCTCTTAACTTTAATTGAGCACTGTCACATATTAGGCAATCTGTGAGGATTCAGAGATCAGTAGAAACATGTTCTGCCATCAAGGAAGCCATAGTTGGAAATAGATGTCGGGGTAATGTTGCCAGATTTAGCAAACAAAAATACAGGACATCTGGTTAAATTTGAATTATACATAAATGATAAATACTTTTCTTTTAAAATGTCTCATGTAATGACTGGGATATATTTATACAAAAATTTGTTGGGTATCTGAAATTTGAATTTAACTGAGGGTCCTGAATTTTTTCTGGCAATGCTGAGGGGAGGTAGATAAATAAATAGAAAAGAAATCAACCATTGAAAGTTCCTCCAGTAGAAGTATGACTGGGGTTCAAGTATGCATGCCAATGAGGGGGGGAAGTCTACACTCAACAAAGGAAGAGAAATTGGTTCTACCTGGACAGAAAGGGAAAAGGGACTGGGAAAGTCTTCATGGAGGAAGTAACATTTGAACTGAATCTTAAAAATGAATATTTGATCCTTCAAAGGTGAACGAGGCACTGGGCCTGTACAGGTTATTGGTGTTGCTTTTATTGCCTCTTAGCTCTAGATTCATCATGTCCTGTTCGTTTGGCATAGTATGGATCTTGGCCTTAGACAGGAGTGGAGGAGTGAGGACCTCTTCCTTGGGTTCTATTTCAGCCTCAAGACTCTGCTACTCCTACTCCTATATTCCTTAGAGTTCTCTTACTTCTTTTGCTAATCAACACCTTATTACTTCAATCTCCTATTATGATTCAAAGTCATTAGATTAAGCTTTCCCTATGTGCTTACTGCATGGTTTCCCTCTCCTGATTGGGCCCAGACTGACAGACATTCATTCATTCAGTGGTACTGAGGATTGAACCCAGGACTTCATGCATTACAGAGCTTTCTTGACTGAGGCAATAGTATAAACAAAGGCAAGGAAATGTGAAACAGGCTGGCATATTCTCAGGACTGTCAGAAAGTGCATATAGAATTGGGGGAGGGTGCTCATCAAGACAAAGGGCTGGAGAGATAATAAAGGACCTTGAATGTTATGCCAAGGAGCTTGGATGTGGTCCTCAGGGAGCTATCAAACAGTTTTATATGGGGTCAGTTGAAGTGTGCTTCAGCAGATCACGACTCCTGTAAAGCATGGACAGGGAGGAACAAAGCAGGGTCCAGCTAAAGCTGTGGCAGTGGAGTTAGGGCAGAAGCAGTAAGAACAGAAGAGAAATGAGGCACAATAAGCAGGACTTGATTATAAACTGGTTGTGAGGGCTGATGAAAGAGATGGCTTCCAGGTATCTGTTTTGGATGACTGGTTAGGACACAGGGGATATTCCTTTTAGCATGTGAGGTAGGGGAGAGATCTTGAGTTTAGTTCTATACAGGTTCAACTTAGAGTATCTGTGACCTTCAGGAGACAAAGAGGTTGGAGGCAGCTGGATGTGTGGTTCTATAATTTAGGACAATTGGGCCAGAGAGATCTGGGAGTTACAGCTTAAAGCCAAGGGAGTGGGAAATAATGAAGGATAAGAGAAAGAGAGCTGGGCAGGGTGGGGATGCCTGTAATCCCAGTGGCTGAGGCAGGAGGATCACCGGTACAAAGCCAGCCTCAGCAACTTAGCAAGGCCATAATCAATTTAGTAAGACCCTGTCTGTAAATAAAATAAAAAAAGAGGCTGGGTATGTGGCTCAGTGGTAAAATGCCCCTGGATTCAATCCCTGGTACCAATTTAAAAAACACAAAACTAAAGCCCTGGAACAGGTTAAGGAACAGAGACAAGCTGGTGAAGGAGACCAAAAAGGATTGATCAGAGAGGCAGGGGAAAACAAAACAAAACAAAAAACAACAGAAGAATGGGAGCAAGTGCTCAACAGGGCCAAATGCAGCAGAAAAATCCAGTCACATAAGGACTGAAAACTTCCCATTGAGTTTTCTTGAAACATAGTGGCCTAGGGATTGGGCTACACTTTTTACTGAGAACAACTAAAAAATACAAGTCAAAATATATTTTTTAAAATTAAATGCATCCATAAGCTGACAAAAGCATACACATTGAGGCCAAAAAATAAATGAAAACAGGAAGCTACAAAGGGTTTCCTAAACTTATGAGAAAGAATACAAAATCCAAGGCCCATTCACCATGGGAAGTCTATTTGGAACCTTCTCCATAAATTGAGGACCCCAAAGAGTTATGTCCAGATTGTGAGGGGAATTAGAGAATTAGAAATGAATCTACCTCCAGGCTGGGGATGTGCCTCAGTGGTAGAGCACTTTGGGCTCAATCCCAAGTATAAGATAGGAGGGAATAAACCTGCTTCTTCTACCTAACCAGGGGGCTACAAAGAAAATTGCCTGTATCCAACCTTCGTGATAAGTGGAAGTTAGAGGTGATCTTCCCTGAGAATTCTTAGTCACAAGCAGAAAGACTCTCCTCTTGTTTTTTTTTTTTAAGTTGTTGACAGACATTTATTTTATTCACTTATTTATATGTGGTGCCGAGAATCAAACCCAGTTTCTCACACATGCAAGGCAAATGCTCTACCATTGAGCCACAAACCCAGGCCCTCTCCTCTTGTTTTGCAGACCAAATTCATACTATGTTGCTAGACTGAAAAGCTTCCAAGAGAGACAGATAGATATGAAATGCTTCTGAGATAAGTAAATACATAGGTGATAAATAGGTATCGGCCTAATTTTTTTTTTTTTGGTGGTACTGGAAATTGAACTCAGAAACACTCTACCACTAAGCCATATTCCCTGCCCTTTTTATTTTTCAGTTTGAGACAGGAGTCTCACTGAGTTGCTGAGGCTGGCCTTAAACTTGCAATCCTCTTGCCTCAGCTTTTGGGATTACAGGCATGTGCCAGTGTACCTGGCTTAGATGGATAATTTGACATGAACCTGTATTGGTAGTGATTCCAGGTGGCCCCAAGAAGTTTCCTATCCCTTTTTCTTTGACTTTGGAAATCTTTCCAGACCCCTACCAAAATTGTCACAGGTTCTGACCCTGTGTGTCCTAGTCTTGTTTCTAAGGTAAGAACCCTTCTGTAACTGGGTCCCACAGATTCATCCCCATTTGGCTCTAAGCTACCCTGCACTACCATCCACATCTCCTGGAGATACCCTTGGTCTGGCTCCCAGAAATGTCCCGAATTCTCCTCAGTGCCTACTTCAGTCCATCTGTCCTCTCAAGGGTTTGTGAAGCATATTCAGGAACTATTGTTGGTGAGTGGCTTCTTCCTCTGTCAGGGAAACCCCTGGGGTGAAGACAGGAACTCTGGATTGGAAGCAGGAAGAAAACTCACACCAATTAAGTTGTAGCCTCCAGGCCAAGTCCTACTCAAGTATTATTTCAGTTTGTCCTTCACTGGAAAAAATCTATATCAAAAGAAGCCAAGCCTCATGACTAGAAAGAGACATAAACACTTTTGAACCCAGGTCTTACTCCAGAATTTGTGCTTCTAACTCCCTCTCATCCATCTTCCACTAGAGAAACTTCCAGCCCACTGTAACTGGCTCCCACAGATTCATCCCTACTTGGCTCTAAACTACCCTGCACTAGAGTATTTCACACCCTAGGTGCAGGCCTAGAATGGGCACTTTATTTTGGCTTCCAGTTTCCTCCCTCCAAATGTTTCCTCCCTCTACCCTTTTTCCCTTCAGTGCTACAGATTTTTTCTTTTTTATGTATTCTTTTTATTTTAAGAGAGAGAGAGAGAGAGAGAGAGAGAGAGAGAGAGAGAGAGAGAGAATTTTTTAATATTTATTTTTTAGTTTTTGGCCTACACAGTATCTTTGTATGTGGTGCGGTGCTGAGGATCAAACCTGGGCCGCATGCATGCTACCCCCAGCCCTACTGATTTTTTTCTAAAATGCAAATTTTTCATTGCTCACTTGAAACCTCATTATGGCTTTATACGGCATTTAGGATAATATAAAAACTCCTACAAGAGTATATTGGTCCCAACTTGTTTTTTCAAG